GAGAACAAATGTCAATGCTAGGTGCTAAGGCCACAATAGTGAACTAAAAAACAAACAAAACAAAACAAAACCAAACCCCCCAAATACCAAAAACCACCTCCACAGTATCTATCCTCTGGTAGTTTAAATTAATTTGTAACATGGTCCAAGATAAGGTAAATGTTTTCTGTAAACATGTTTAGTTCTGTTGGGAAATTTTCATATTGACATGGGGGGGGTGCTGAGAATTGAACTCAGGACCTTGCACTTGTCAGGCAGGTGCTGTGCCGCTGAGCTACATCTCCAGCCCTGTTGGGAAATTTTAAACAAAGAACACTAGACATGGAAAGTAGAACCCATTTTTATTTGCATGTATTTTTCAGGCCTTGACACCTGCAGATATTTTTTATAAAATTTTAGCCTTAGTGTATAATGCGCCATCTATTTATTTATTCATATACTGTTTTCTATTTTTTGTGGTACTGGGGATTGAATCGAGGGCCTTCACACTGAACTGTGATGGAAATTTTTTAAAAATTTAAAAATCAGGGCCAAGGATATAGCTCAGAGGCCTGGGGATACAGCTGAGTGGTGCAAGTGCATGCTTGGCAAGAGCAAGGTCCTGAGTCCCATTCCTGGTACCAAAAAAAATCAAGTAGTAGTCAGACATCGTACTAGGACAAAAATCCTCTTTTCCAGGATGAGGAGCTTCCTGGCCTCCTTGCCTTTTAACCACATAGCTTGTCTGCTAGACTCACTCTGCCTTGACTGACTACACCAGAGGTAACCTGACCCAGCGCCATTTGATGGCACCCAGCTGCAAACCTGTACTTTCTAGCCCCCAAACATACCCTGTTTGCTAACTTGTTTCCAGGATTGTCTGCTCAGCAACAAAAAATAACTGCTGCAACCCAATGAAATTCTCCATGCTTTTAAGCCTTTGTACTTCCTGCTTGCACCACTATATAAACTAAGCCCGAATTCTGCTCTAGGCTGATGTTTTGGGAGTGATCCCCCACCAGCCCGCAGGCGTTACAAAGTTAATTGCCCTCCACCTCATTGCAGAGCATTTTCCATTCAGTTCGGTACTGGTTCTACCACAGAACCCCATCACCAGTCCTTTTATTTTTATTTTTATTTTTTATTTTGAGACATGGTCTCGCCCAGTCAGTAAGTTGCCCAGGCTGACTGGGCAATCTTCCTACTTCAGCCTCCCAGAATGTTAGGATTATAGACATCTGCTAACACACCTGGCTTGTTTATTGATTTAGTTTTGTGTTGCTGGGGACTAAATTTGGGGCATTTGCCATGTTAAACACGCACTCTGCTTCTGGGCTACACCCCCAGTCTCTCATATTCTATTTATTTTATAAATCATATTTTCCTTGTAGAATTTATATAGATCATTGTGAATGGCCAGATGATGTGTTCATGGGTTGCTATTTATTCTGGAAGTATTTATTGATGCCAACTCTCAGCCAGGTGCTGTACTTGGCATTGGGAATTCAGTGGTAAAACAGATAAAAAGCCTAATTATCGGGGCTGGGGATTTAGCTCAGCAGCACAGTGCCTGCCTGGCAAGCGTGAGGTTGTGAATTCGATTCCCGGTATAGGAAAAAAAAAAAAAAGAAAAGAACTAATTATCCTGGCTGGTGAAGTTATTTATTTAAAATAAGAGGAAAAAATGCTTCAGGCATGCAGTTGGAAAAAAAAGCAAGTAAAATATAAGGTGAAATTTCTGTAGAGTAAAATTCAATATAAGAAGGAAGTAGACCAAAAAAAAGAAGGAAGTAGAATAATATTTATAATTCCTGAGGGAAAGGATATTGTTCAAAGTCAGGGACAAGAAGAAAAAAAGGGAGAGCATAGCAGGGAAAAAATGGAAGCAAAGTTTTTGTAAATAAGGAGAGGAAGAGGGGTTGAGGAGCGGGGTGGGGAATGGGGGTGGGGAAACGCCACAGCAAGAGTTAGCATGAACAGGTACAAATTCCCTGTGATGAATGTGATCAGTGTGCATGTCTAAAATGTAGCAATAAGAACAAATCCAGGGCATCATTTAGGCTGAGAAATTCATTTCAGGTTAGGAATGAACTTGGACTTAACCACAGCCCTCCTTGAAAGACAGCAAGAGCCAGTAACCTGTGGGGAAGCCTAGAGAAAGGGCTCATTGTGAGCAATGAGGAACTCCTGGCTTTATAGAACCAAGACTCCATCACTGGGGAAATACGATTCCAGAAATGGAAGATGGGCTCTTTCTGTGCTGCCCAGGCTGGACTTGAACCTCTGGGCTCAGGCGATCCTCCCGTCTCAGCCTCTCTGTACCTGTCACTGTGCTCAGCCACATAAGATGGTTTTCATCTACCCGTTCTTTTGTAGCAGTTATGTTCTAAAAAAGTGGCCTCAGCCACAGAGTTCAGGACACTGAGTTCAGGAATTCGAAGAACTGATGCTGGAGAAGATTAGGTTTCTCTTTGCTCATAACACTTCTGTTGACTGACCAATATGTACAAAGCCTTCTGTGTGTTCTGGTTTAGACACCTGGAGTGATTAACCCTGGACTATGACCAGTGGCTGAGGAACTCATGCCTGAGCAGAGCTTATCTATGTGTTTCTTCAGGAAGCCACGTCACAACCTTCTTATTGTTGGAAACACAGCACTTCAACACTTTGCATGAAGTGCCATTCTATTTTATTTTACTTCTTTTGTTTTTTTGGAGACAGGGTCTCACTGTGTAGTGCAGGTTGGTGCTGAACTCACTTAGGTAGCCCAGACTGGCCTCAAACTCATGGTGATCTTCCTGCCTCAGCCTCCTGAGTGCTGGGATAACAGGTGTGCACCACCACACCTGGCTTGTAAAGTGCCATTTAAAAAATTTATTTATTTATTGTCTTTTTGAGACAGGGTCTCGCTATGTGGTTCAGGCTGGCCTTGAGCTCACTTTGTAGCCCAGGCCTGTCTTGAACTCACAACAGTCTTCCTGCCTCAGCCTTCCGAGTGCTGGGATTACAGGTATGAACCCAACTAACATAGATTTTTGTTGAATGAACGATGTATGTTCTCTAGGAATGAGCGAGAATACACATCAAGCTCTTATAACATTTCAGACTGAGAGAAGGAAAGAAAATCTACTATTTTTCACTCAGTGCTTACCATGCACTTCTCTAGGGCACAGAGCTATTGCTAAGAGGTTTAAAAAATATATGATCATGCCAGGTGCGATGGCACACATCTGTCAGCTCAGCACTCTGGGAGGCTGGGGCAGAAGGACCCAACTGAGTGTCTTAATGAGAACTTGTTGAAAAAAAAAAAAAATCCAAAGGGCTGGGGATACAGCTCAGTGTGGGGGCTCTGCGTCCAACCCCGAGTGCCATCATTTTTTCAGATGACAACTGAAAATCCATGTGCTTTGCCCTTCTTTGCCTTATAGTAACTGTCAATTTTAAGGGCTCTGCTGAAGGTTCTGCAAATCCAAGAAGTTGGCTGGACCACGCATAGATACCGAAGTTGGCAGTTGTGCTAAAAAATAGCTCGGGCCCCAAACTTCGCAACTTTTTCCTCACCTTCCAAGGACTCATATTGATGCCTTACAGCAGGCACACTGGCCTGACGTTGCTCACTGGCCTCACAATGAACATCCAACAGTCCTCTTCCCGGGAAGGGCACCTCCTGCTTCCCCAGGATGATCTCCATTCAGACTTAATCTGCACTGCATTTCTCTCTTGGCAGAGAGGAGACAGGGAAAGATGACAGGGTTTCCCTGGTCCACCTGGTTAGTCAGTCACGCACACAGGAACGGGGCCTGGCTTACTGATGGCTCAGGCCAGAGGAGCAGCCCTAACTCGCGATGACTCCAGCCCATGAGGTGACGAATGAAACAGTTATTTGTCAGCAAGCAGCCAGCCGAGTTTCAGTCCGTATTCCCCAGGAGCACGCGGCCTACCGGAAGAGGAAGTCAGAGAGGCCGTCAGAGGTTGCGGTGGGGGGGGGGGAAGCGTTTACTTACACTGCTTGAGGATGTAGAGCAAAATGAAAAGTGGGTGAATTGGGGGCTGGAAATCAAGCACCTCTTTTCCAGGATGAGGAGTTTCCTGGCCTCCTTGACTTTTAACCATCTGCTCTGGCTTCTGTGCTCATCATTTTTGGACTTCACTCACTCCTGATATCAAGGCCTTTACACATTTCCAATAAACCCACAAAAGGACCCAAGTTGTTAAAGACAGAGAGAGACGTGGGGATGAAGGTTGCTGCAGGACTCATAGTCAAGGAGGACAATTTCTGGGCATGGCAGTGCAGAGGCTTTGAGAATGAGGCATGGGGCCTTACCTGTCATTCTTCCCAGCCGCCCAGCATACATTTCTCCAACAAATCCAGATATGTGGGCAGAGGAAGTCGGGATAGATGTCTCCCAGGGCACGCTTGTCTCCTGGGGGCCTGACACAAGGCAGTGCCATCCCCAGGGCCTCACGCCCTGGTGCAGGTGTCCTACAGGAGCCTCTCCAGCGCGGAGCTGGGCCTGATGTATGTGACAAGCTCACTTCCTTCCCAGCTGCTCCGGCTCAGTGAAGCAAGGTAGGGGAGAAGAGAGAGAAGAAAAGAAAGAGAGAGGGAAGGGGAGAAAGAAGGAGGGAGGGAGGGTAAAGATTAAAGCTCTGATGAGTTTCCAGACATAGTACATAATGATTGGCACACTGGAGTATTTGCAAGTAGAAGAATTATTCGATACCACGCTCTGGGCCACCTCCCACAGTGTGCATGGCTGGGAGAATAGCCAAGTCTTTGTTAGGTGACTTTCAGGTTGGAGCTTGAACCCGGGTAGCACTTGGAAGGATAATGGTAAGAGCGGAGACCGCTGCTTAGGAGCATTGAATCATGGGTGACTTTGCGACTTCGTACACGCAGAGCCAGGCCTTCCCGGGTGATAAGGCTCAGATAATCTCCAAGAGGAGCAGAAGGCAGCACTGTCTTGCTGGCTGCCAGCTAAGCAAAGAACCGCTGTGAGGCTGTCTCACTTTGTTTCCAGATGGAGATGAAAGCTGCGCTACATTCACCAGGCTGAGCTTCCACAGCGCAGTGGTTGGGACCGGACTGGATGTGAGGCTGATGCTTCACACAAAGAGACACCCGGCCTGCGCCCAAATCATCAACTCCACGGCCTTTGGGGACTTCAATGTAACCAAGAGAACCACCTTCGTCATCCACGGGTTCAGGCCAACGGGCTCCGCTCCAGTTTGGATGGGGGACTTGGTAGAGGGTTTGCTGTCTGTGGAGGACATGAACGTGGTGGTGGTTGATTGGAACCGAGGAGCTACGACTGTGATTTACCCCCACGCCTCTGGTAAGACCAGAAAAGTTGCCATGGTCTTGAAGGAATTTATCGACCAGATGTTGGTAAGTGAGACTTCTCTTAGGGGGTTCAGGGCCATATTGAAACTGGCTGATGATCCGGAGGCCCGAAGCCTAGAGATATCTTCAGAGTCTAGACGGGACTATTTTGTAATATTTTGCAAATCTGAATAAGCCCCAGGGAAGGGGAGGGACTGCACGCGAGCCTCTTATGTGTGGTTGGGCGGGTTGTGTGCTGCACAGGACACCGATTTAAAGGAATTGCATTGTTACTGGAGATGTTACTGATTTACATATTTGTTAGGATAATATTCCCACAGATGATGATGTAGTGTCTTGAAAAAGCTGCTTCTTTTTCTAACTTGTAGAAAGGTGTCTTATGGGTAGAAGAGGTTCTGTCTGGGTTTCCTGCTTTATGTTCCCCGAGCTGCTTGGATGTCTGTAGTCATTCCTTCTGCTATAGCAGGGCCAAAAGCTTAACAACCAGATTGCCCAAAGCCAAAACCGAGACACACGGTCCCATGAGATGATTTATGCTTTTAGAAGACTTACACAGGTGAGACCTTAAATTTTGTTCGGTGACACGTCTCATGATTTACCCCTTTTAACAATAACAGAAAGAGTGGCATGAGATCAGGACAATTCCAGAGTGTCAGGGCCTGGTGACCACCATGGCCAGGGTGACTTGAGTGTCACACGAGCTCCTCCTCTACGCCACAGCCCTGGGAAAGAGCCTATTCGAGCGGCTGGGGACAAGCTGTTGCGGCATAGTCCACTTTTCCAACTTTCTCCCTTCTTTCCTTCCCTCTCTGTGGTGACTTCACTGACTCGGCCAGGGCGAAGTTAAAGGAGTTCATCAAAATGTGATTTTAGCCAGACGCAGTGGCACAGGCCTGTAATCCTACCAACTTGGGAGGCTGAGGCAGGAGGACAGCAACTTGGAGTCCAGCCTGGGCAATCTAGCAAGGCCCTGTCTCATAGTAAGATTTTAAAAAGGACAGGATGGGAAGGTATCTTGGTGGTAGAGTGCTTGCCTAGCGTGTGTGCTGCCCTATGCTCCACTCCCAGCACCCAAAATATAAAAACGTTTAAAAAAATCGTCATCCCTCTGTCTAGTTGTGAATGTTGTTAAAGATATGTCAGCTTGGTTTCTAGCAGAGGCATGAATAGAGACACAACAGCTGAAAAGTTAAAACGCAAATTTGGGGCTGAATAGGGTGATTTGAGTCCTGCTCTGGCCTCTCCCCAACTGCCTCACCTAGGACAGATGACTTCAACTGTGGGTCTCAATTTTCTCTTCGTCCATATAATTAAAGAATGATATTTGTATTTCAGGGGTATTGTGATATTTAAATGAGACAGTGAATGTGAGGCACTTGGTAATACTTCTCCAAAGTCAGCAGCTAGGAAATTTCTCCAAATGTAGTCAGCTCCTTGGCCCCTCACCATATATAATGATAGACTTCCTAAAATTTCAGGCAAAAGGAGCATCTCTTGGCAACATTTATATGATTGGAGTGAGTCTAGGAGCCCACGTATCTGGATTTGTTGGAGAAATGTACGCTGGGCAGCTGGGACGAATTACAGGTAAGGCGCTGTGAGGGGAGGGGTTCCGTGGCAGGGTGATCGTGAGGGTCCTGGGCCGGGAACCCTTGTCCTTGGGCTCAAGGCCAGCTCTTCCAGGGCAGACTGCGATACAACTGACCTCAGACTATTATTTAGTAAAAGATAGAATAGTAAGACATTTTGCAAACTGTGTATGTTCTAGGAAAGGTGGTAGTGACCTTATTATTTCTTCTCAGGGTAGAAGAAACAGCAATGTTCCATGGGAATTTGACCTGTGACCCCCTCCCCAGCCTTCTCTCTTTTTTTTTTGGTTTGTTTTCTTTCTTTTTTTTTTTTTTTTTTTTGGTACCAGAAACAGCAATGTTCCATGGGAATTTGACCTGTGACCCCCTCCCCAGCCTTCTCTCTTTTGTTTTTGGTTTGTTTTCTTTCTTTTTTTTTTTTTTTTTTCTGGTACCGGGAATCGAACTCACGACCTTGCAGTTGCCAGGCAGGCTCTGTGCCGCTGAGCTAAATCCCCAGCACCCCCAGCCTTCTCCCTTGTATTGAATCTAGGGTGGCCTGAGCAACAGGCCAAGCACCCTGCAGTCCCCAGGCACGGCTGGAGTCTCCCAGCTGGAAAATGAGATGGGAATGTGGATGGCTGGGCTCACTCTGTAAATATCAGCTTGCCAGCCCACGCGGAAGGAAAACACTCAGCAATGCAGCGGTCAGACCCCAAACAAAGACTCCCTTGCTGGGATCTCTTACCTGGGGCTCAGTAACTTTCCACAGCTACTCAAAAGGCCGGGCAGCTTTCTCTTTCAGAGGCCTAGGGCTCTCGCATTCGCCTTTCCCAGAATGCACCTGCACACTTAGGGAGTGTTTGCAAGGGAGAAGTGGATGGAGGGAGGGAAAGCTCAATGACTCCCATCAACTAGATTTGGGATGTCTTGGCAAGTCTCTCTGGGCCCTGGGGGAGTCACGTCTGTCTCAGGACTCTCGTGTCTGTCTGTCTGTCTGTCTGTCTCTCCCCCAGAAACCCCCCACATTGGCTGGCAGTTCTTCTAGCCCTGGTACTTGAGGTCCTATTGCTTGTCCTGGATCTTTTTCTCACTCTCACTCAGAGGCCAAGCCTGCCTCCTATTAATTTACCTGGTATCCTAGTCATTTTCTGTTTCAAAAACTATGCTTTAGAAAGCATTGTGATGGCCGGAGATATAGCTCAGAGGCATGAGCGCCTGCCTAGCAAGCTCAAGATCCTGAGTTTGATTCCTGGTACAAAAAAAAAAAAAAAAAATTAATTAACTTATTTATTAGGGGCTGGGGATTTAGCTCAGAGGCACAGTGCCTGCCTGGCAAGTGCAAAGTCATGAGTTCGATTCCTGGTACCGGAAAAAACAAAAACAAACAAACAAACAAACAAAAGAAAGCACTGTGTCTTTGCTTTTTAAACATTTCCCTCATGGAGAAAGGCCAGATGGCTCGGTTTTGCCTGTATCCTTGACTGTTGGGAATTCCTCTTCTGGTGGGAGAGATATTCCCAGTGGTGTGAGTATGTATGTGATTCTGGCCTCTGGCCCTGGGGGTTTCCCAAGCCAGCCTGCCTTCCACTCTGGGCTCACGGATCCTACTCTGTGGCCCGGACTCAGCCAGTGGACCCAGCTCAACTTTTCCCTGCACTGACTTCTCCATGTTCTCCCAAATCCTCACTATCTCTGAGCGCCGTGGTCAATCTTCACTGTCCCCAAGAGCATCTCCAGAAGCAGCGCAATTTCCTTCCTCCATGCCCTGCCTCTGCTTTGCAAGGTGGCCACTGCAGACTAGGGTGGCCTGTAAGTGTGAGATAGAGCTGGCTTTCTGAGACTAAGAACGACAGCAGCAAGTCAGAATGTAAAAATTCGGACATTTCTTTATTGATTACCTTATGTAATAATAGCTTGGATATTCTGTACTGGGTTATATGAAATGTATTCTTGCCAGGTGTGGTGGTACCTGCCTGCAATCCCAACACTCTGAGAGGCTAAAGCAGGATTGCAAGGTTGAGCCCAGCTTGGGTGATTTAGCAGCTTTGCGAAAACTCTTTCAAAATAAAAAAATTTAAAAATGGGCTGGGGATGTAGCTCAGTGCAAAGGCCTTGCATTCAATCCCCAGAACCACAAAAAAAAAGTATGGTTAAATTAACTTTCCATCTTTTAGGTGGCTACTAGAAAATTTTCCATGGTAAATATGGCTCACATTAAAATTTCTATAGGCTACTGGTGCCTTAGAGAGTACCTGGTGACCTTAGAGATAGGAGTAAGAGGCCCCTGAAGTTGCACGAAAAATGTTGGATTTTGGGGGAGGTGTCCAGATCTTTCATCAAATCTCAAACCAGTTAATACCATGCTAAAAGCCAAGGATCACTACCTAGACACTGATGATCTCAGAGATCCTTGATTCTGTGATCTTAGAGCAGTTAAGGGTGAACTCCTCGTTTCCATTCATTTTCTCTGCTGTAATAATGTCACAATGCTCTGGGTTTAGATTCAGGAGTGCTTTGATGAATCTTCTCAAATAGCTATTAATTCTACCTCCACTTTACAGTATAAGGAAACTAAGGTTTAGAGAAGTAAAGCAACCTGCTTACTGCCACACGGCTGTTTAGTGGTGAGTTTGGGCCTCCCGGTCCGCCTGCTCACACAGACTATGCAGGTTTGGGGGCACTTTTTCTAGCATTTTTGGCTAGTCATTTACTACGGCTTACCACGGTGGATGTCACAAGTCCAGGGTCACCTGTGTGGTCCTCGTACGTGCCTTGCTCTGCGCTGGGTGTTGTATCTTCCATGCATCCTAAGGTTGCTGTCCACTGTGCCTTTCAAGGGTCGGTTTCTTAGACAGGAAGTGGTGCTGTCTGACGTGGGAGGGAGCGGCTCTGGGCCAAAATCCTTCCAAGGCTGTGGAGCGTCTCCTGTTGGGTCAGAAGAGCATGGACTTGGGCTCCTGGGCTCCGGCTCATCTCCTCCCGGAGATGGGAGTGTTTCAAGTGGGAGTGGATGGAAGAGGAAGAAAGTGGGAGGAGGGGAGAAAGGAGATAAAGAAGGAGGCAGATAGATAAATCAGTCTCCAGGAAGCAGAAGAACACTGGGAGAGGACAAATGGAAATACCGAAGTAGAACCAGAAAAGCTGAGGGGGAGACGCTACCTTTCAGATTTTATATGTAATGCTGGTGGACGGGAGACAGCGTCTAATGTGACAGTCATAGGGACCACAAGTGTAGCTTGGTGGTAGCGCACATGATTAGTGTGTGTGAGGTCCTGGATTTGATCCCCAGCACCAAAACCAATAATAAAATAAAATAAGAAAACGGCATTCATAGATGAAAGCTTCGAGGGAGACATTCCTAGAAATCTTTTTCATTCCACATAGAGCTCTAGTAAATTGGGCCTTTCAATCCTCTGACTTTTGTTTTTAAGTTTTATTTTGTGATTGCAATATCATACGAGCTGCCCTCCTATTTTTCTAGCTGCTTCCTAGTGAAAGCAAGTAATGTTTAGTTAACACTAAGGGCAGGACATCAGTTCAGGTCTTACGGGTGAGATACTTCTGTGTTATCTGCAAGGACCGACACCCTTTATCCTGCCTGGCCTGACTAGTGAGTTTTGTCCTTCCCTGCTGAGCTTGCTAAAGTCAGCACAGGAAAACCAAAGCTGAACAGATAGAGGAGGCTGCCCTGTGAAGCTCGTTTCTGCTCTACATGTTGATCTCCCTGGACCTCAGTTGATTCATCTGTACAATGGGAATCATAGCTGCTACCCTTCTCCCCTATGAGTTTGTAAGGTGGATCAGCTGAAATAAGATATGAATAAAAGTGGAAACTGTGCAAGAGTTTTATTAATAGCGAGAAGGACAGTCTGAGTGGGGAACAGAATCATTGAAAATGGGATAACAAGTATGTAGGATCGTTGTTTTCTCTTTTCTATGCTCTGTGGGGCATGCTTCTTAAGGAACTAGTTTATTTTGTCCTCTGACCCACACATGTGTGTGCATTGCCTGCTGAGCTCTGCTGCACGCTGCCCATGTGGGCTGCTGAGCTCTGCGGGGCTGCGTTGCTCAGGGGCACCTCCGGGTAGCGTCTCCACTGTGGGAAAGTGCCACCGGCTGTGGAGAGGAGCCATGATGAAGCAGGATGGGAATGTGGCGCTCGCCCACCTGAGGGGGCCCGTGGCCTGTGGGCCTCCTCACCCGCAGGGATCAAAGGCCTGCTGGGGTGACTCATGGCATGGGACTGCCAAACCACTCTGCTTTCTTTCCAGGTCTTGACCCTGCGGGCCCTTTATTCAACGAGAAACCTCCTGAGGACAGATTAGATCCCAGTGACGCGCAGTTCGTGGACGTCATCCACTCTGACACTGACGGTAACATTCCTGTCGTTGTGGGTCAGAGGCCTCCGGACTCCCAGCATCTCCCCCAGGGGAATCGTCAGGCAGGGACAGAGCAGATTCCTCAAGACGCCCTCTATCCCACGGTGTAAGGCGCCAAATCCATAGAAACCCTGAAGGGAAGCTGGTGCCATGCCGGCCCCCAGCATGGTGAGCTGGGTGGGCATGATTTTCCCACTGTGCCTTCTTAGTTTTAAAATCATCATCTTGCCAGAACAGAGAAGGCTGGTTTGTATACCTGTGTGGATAGATTTCCGTACGTGCAACTGGATTTGTTGGGTGATTTTCTGGTTCTCATTATTTCCTTTAGCAGAGAGATAAATTGAAGTGTCACTTCTGTTCCCAGGAGCAACTCTGGCCTCCCTTAGCTCCTGGCTATGCCTTTTGTGACGCTGATTTCACATCTGGGACTGTGTCCATGCCGTGTGGGTGGGAGTGATGGTCAAGGATAGGTGTCTGCCACAGCCAGAGGCTGGGAGAGGAGCTGGAGTGGGAACTTGCTGAGGCCAGAGAGGGCAAAGCAGAGTGATCAATTAATTTGTACATCCTTTCTATGCTTTTTGTGCTGTGACCACCCAAAATACCCTTGAGCCAGGACTGGGGTGTAGCTCAGTGGTGGAAAGCTTGCTTAGCATGCATGCAGGAGGCCCTGAGTTTAACTGTAGCAAAACAAAACAAAACAAAACAAAACACTCCTAACGCTATCACAGGTGCTCTGATGTATTCAGCAATTATTTGCCTTAAAAGAAATACAACTTTGTTTAACAGCTGTCTTTCCACTATGAAGTTTGCAAAGTATCACCTTATTTACTTTTGAATGCTCAGCGGAATCAAGCAATTTACACTTTATTCTTGGAAAGTGAAGTCTTGGGAGGGGGTTATTTTTTGAGACAGGGCTTTACTACGCAGTTCAGGCCAGTCTTGAACTCACTTTGTAGCCCAGGCTGGCCTCGAACTCACAGTGCTCCTCCTGCCGTGGCCCCCTGAATGCTGGGATCACAGACATGTGGCTGCCACACTGGGCATTAGAAAGTGAAGGCTGAAGGAAAGCGTATAAGCTTTGCAGTCAAGCTGATGTGGACTCAGGTCTCAGATTCTGTCCTTTGGTGCTATCATGTTAGTTTCTCAAGTCCCTGAGCCTACATATTTTCATCTGAATTTACCAGTGGCTACTTTGCAGACATTGTGAAAATCAGAAGGAAGTGAGACACTTAGTAACACACCCACAAACACATGTAGGATCTCAATATAGTAACTATCATTATTACCACAATGCAACGTATATATACATATTTTACATATACGTGTATACATATATTTTGGGAATACTTTAATCAAGAATTTTGCTGATTATTTTGGGGTTACATGGTTAAAGAAGATAAGCGGTTATTAGATCTGGCTGTAGTTTCTTCCTCTTGAGATGGATTCTCACTGTGCTGCCCAGGCTTGTCTCAAACTCCCAGGCTCAAGTAATTCCTCCAGCTCAGGCCACCGTGCCTGGATACTGAATATCTGTGGGTGGATATGTTTGTTTTTTGCAGTGTTAGGATGGAACCCAGGACTTCAAGCGCTATGCAAGTACTCTAACACTGAGCTACACCCTCAGCCCACCAAAATGATGTCTAATTCTCTCATTCCCTCCTCATGTACTACCTGGACTGTTCTTTTGGTGGAGCTGGGATCAAATCCTGGGTCTCAAGCCTGCTGAACAAGCACTTAACCCCTCAGCCATAACTCTGATCCTATAATTTTTTATGGCTTCATATTTTAAAAGTGTTTCTGATCTTTTTTTATTATTATCTTGGACTCCAAAATGCTTAAATATTTCATCCACTAAGTAAAAATTAATTTTTTCCTGTTATTCATTAATGATTTATGCAAATGCAAATGGAGGTTCAAGGAGCACCCCACAATTAAAGAGTTCCAGCAAAATGTAAAGAAGAAATGTATCTTTTTTTTTTTTTTTTTTTTTGATACTGGGAATTGAACTTAGGACCTTGCGCTTGCCAAGCGAGGCACTGTGCCACTGAGCTGTATCCCCGGCCCGGCAATGTATCGTTTTTGAGTAGCCTGTGGTGAATGAATGATCCAACTCCCTTACACCTCTAAAAAGAGTAGAATTAAATTTTATCACTATTTTCCCAGTCTCCTAGCAATGCAACAGCTTTCCATCCCTATATCACATACCTGATGTAATCCACTTATAAAGAGGTTTATGTTGGCTCACAGTTTGGGGGGACCCAGTCCATGGCTGGGTGGAGCCCGTGCTTTTAGGCCTGGGCTAAAGGAGCACATCATAGTGGGAAGGCATAGAGGAGCAAAACCGCTCACCTCAGGGTCAGGACTTGAAGAAGAAAAGGAAGGATGGGCTGTCTCTCAGTGACCTAGGACTTCCTCCCAGTGGTTCCACCACTCCCAATATCACCACTCTGGAGACCAGGCTTTTAATGCTGGGCCTCTGGGTGACATTCAGGATCCAAAGTATAGCAGATGGTGGTAGAATTCATAGCCTGCTTTCTAACTAACGAGCCGGGTGCCTTAGGGCAAAACATTTAAATGCGTATAAAAATAATGATAACAACAACAACAACAATAGCAGTAATAATACAGCTCCTGTCCCTGTCCCGCAGACAGATGAGCTATAGGGTATGAAAAGTTTAAAGCCATGTGAAAGCTTAGTGTGCTTTCTTTTAGCGCTGGGATATAAGGAGCCACTGGGAAACATAGACTTCTACCCAAATGGAGGATTAGATCAACCTGGTTGTCCCAAAACAATATTTGGAGGTAAGCCCAGAACTGTAGTTCATTTAAATTTTTAAATGAATAATGGTTCCCCCACACAAGGATTTGTATTTTGTAAAATAGTGATTTGAAAATGGTGCTTTAAAAAATTATTCTACATAAAATAGTTTTTTTTTGGGACAGAAAATGAAGGTGGAGGTGGTATAAATAAATCTAAGAAGATGGAGGTGGTATAAATAAATCTAAATTAAAAATTATAACTCAAAATATTACTGTAAAAAATTATAGATATATGCTTAAAAGCTATTCTGCATTATTTCTTATTTCTCTCTCTCTCTCTTGGAAATACATGTCTTTGACCTAGAAATTCTATATCTGGAAATGTCATGTAGAAATAATTGGGAAACATAAACAAGAAATTAGAGTGCAAAGGTGTCCACCACATCATTATTTATAATAGTGTTTTAGAGTTAATGTAAATGTCCAACATAGGGAAATTATTACATGAATTGTGGTTCACCCGCACAAAGAATATAATTGCTAAAAAAAAAAATTTTCAGAAATTTATGAAAATTCTTATGGTGTTAAGTGACAAAACGTAAAAGCATCCAACATGATCTCAATGGCAGCCTCCCAAGTAGCTGGGATTGCAAGCACGCACCCGTGTGCCTGGCTCCGCTGGTCTTGAATGAAAGTATATTTGCCTTATTTAATTCCTGCCATAACCTAATCTAGTTTAATCTCTTCTCCCGGCACTTGCTGGTGTGGATCTTTATCTCTGTGTTATGAGAATTAAAAGTGCACAAACATACCTACGTTTTGAGTGCAGTGCCCGGCATGCAGGAAACATGAATTGTGTGTGTGTGTGTGTGTGTGTGTGTGTGTGTGTGTGCGTGTATAAAATGTGTGATGCGTTTCTATTAACTGCTTCAACTGCTCTACTCTGGCTTCATTCCCTTGACAACCAAGGAATGCAGTATTTCAAATGTGACCACCAGAGGTCCGTGTACCTGTTCCTGGCTTCCCTGAGAGAAGACTGTGCGGTCATCGCGTATCCCTGTAACTCCTACCGGGATTACAGGAACGGCAAATGCATCAACTGTGGAACAGCGCAAACGGAGCCCTGTCCCCTTGTGGGTACGTCTGACAAGCAGTGTCCCTTTCTGATGAATTAGAGCTCATTTCTGGTACAAGTCCCAGAACCAGTTCAGTATCTAGATATGCGCCTCCCAATGTATCTATCTAGTCAGTTTTCTGTAGCCAATTTGTCCTTTGAATTAGTCTGGTCTCTTCAATGGTGTTACAAAAGCAATCTGCCCGCGGTTCTACCCAGAACGTAGTGTAGCCTCCCCTAACGTGCTATTCTATCTTGCAAAAGGGGATTCCCACAGAACATTCCCAAGCCACCCCAGGGTTCAACCACTTTACACAGCCTGGTCCTCTGCACACACAGTCTCTGCTGGGAGAGGTTCACACAGCCGGGGACTCTTCTGTCACGTGACCCTTGCAGCGCGCTCCCTGCCAGCAAGCGGTTCTGTGAATGCCGCCATCGCGCACGCTGGCGCTCCCGTGCACGTAGGGCTGGGGTCAGGGAAGAGTACTGCGGCCGTGCTTGCATATTTGCTAGGGGTTAGTGGGGGTGTTCCAGGCAGTCAGGACTTGGAAACCGGGGGGCCCTGAGAATTTTCTCATTTTTCCCGGAAGGAAAAAATGCAAGACAAAAAGTACGTTGCTTTGCAGTAATGATGCTATTTTAGAGATAAATCTAAATCTGTTTTAATGTAGAAAACAATTGTATTCCCG